GGGGGGGGGGGGGAGTGGGACTGTAAGGAGACCAGTGGGCTCAGGAGAGACTAGCTGGTCTGCAGGTTGGCCACAGAGCCCAGGTACCTCTGGTTACCCTGATCATGTCCCTGATTCGCAGTGACAGAAGTATGAACACTACATAGCGGATTCCGGGACTTTTAAAGGTAGAAGCAAGAAAAGAATACAGATGAAATCCATGTAAAGTGCAAAAAACAGAAAAATACCCAAATTTCTGCAGATAAAAACCATCTAACATCGCGGTCATTTAAAATAGCATTTAGTCATTGGGCATTGAGCAGAATTGGCCTTAAACAAGCATTCAAATAAACACTGAGTCTGGGGGCTCCTGGGTGGCTCAGTTGGTTAAGCGTCTGACCTCACCCCGGGTCATGATCTCGCAGTTCGTGACTTCAACCCCTGCATCAGGCTCTGTCCTGACGGCTGGGAGCCTGGAGCCTACTTTGGATTCTGTGTCTCCCTCTCTCTGCCCCTCTCCTGCGTGCTTTCTCTCTCTCTCAAAAATAAATAAACATTAAAATTTTTTTAAAAAAGAAAACACGGAGTCTGCTGGGGGCTCGTGCTGGGGGCGGGTTAAGTACATACCTTGCTTCCTGAGGAACTCCTTTCTTTGAAATTCAGCCTCATCCAGAATAGCCTTGAATGCTAAATTCGGTATTTAAGGGGGAAAGAAACGAAAGATGTTTGCTTCTGTGGGGTCAACACAATTTTCTTTGAATTTTCTTTTACAGGCATACAAAAATAGTGTTGCATACCGTCTCCGATGAGAACCAGAGAAGACTGACTTTTGGCTTTTCCGTCATGGATCTGCACAGTGTAGGTGCCTTCGTTCTCGATAGTAAATCGGTCCATGACCATCTCGATAATGCCCGTTGCTTTGTCGCATTTAATTCTGTGTTTCTGGAAGCAATGGGGGAAGTAGAGAGGTCTACAGTGAAATTCCGTCTTCCGGTCTGATCCCTGACGTTAGGTAGTGGCATAATGTCACTACTGCATCTTCGGGGACTGGGACGTACACAGAAACACAGAATGAAATTTTATCCACTAAACCTCTTGGAGAACGGCACATCCACCAAGGGACACGAACATCCCCTCGGTGACCAAGCCCACGTTCTGCGTGGGAGCCGACGACGCCAGGAAGGCTCACTCCCAAGAACAGGCGCCTAGCGCGAGAAAATCAGACACGCAGGAGGGACGAAACGGTGTGCATGTCAGCGTGCCCCACGCTGACCACGAAACCACGGGGAGCCAGCAGCAACGCACCGCGTGGCCTGCGGCTCCGAGGCCGCCGTGTGACCAGGGCCACAGGAGCTGCGTGTCAGGCGGGCAGAGGTTTTCCGGAGGAGCGAGGAGGAACCGTGTGTGCCTTGGCAGTTCTGGCACCTTGCGCCCGAGTCCGTCCTGAGGCCACGACCCGACACGGCCTCTGAATGCTCCCAGCTGACCGCCGGCCCCATGCCCCGCAGACTGGTGTGGGGAGCACTTGCCTGAACAGCCCTGGGGATCAGCTGGGTGCCTTCCCGTGAGATCCCCGCAGTGCCCGCCTGCCCTACAGGGTCATACCTTGCCCCGGTCCAGATGTCCTCTCGCCGTCCGCCCGTCCGGCTGGACGGTAAATCCCCAAGAGCGAGGACTGTCCTCACCCTTTCCACCTGGCACGTGAGCGCCCAAACGAGCGTGTAGGGGATGCTCGACGAGAAAGTCAGCCTGTGCCGATCGGCTCATTTTGCCGTCTATGGCGCTGAGCTGGCTGCAGCGTAGTTCCCCACCGACGCGTCCGACCGGGGACGTGACCCCGTGCTGCCCAGCCCACCCGAAGCCCGGCTTCCTTTCACGCTGCTCTCATCTTTCGTGACGAGCTGACACACGCGGACGTTTTGTGGTAGCTAACGGAGTCCATCTTATCCCCACCTCGGACACCACAGAATCTGAAACTAAGCAGGGCCACGGAGGTGCGGGGACCACATCCAAAGAATGAGTCGTCTCCGATGCAGAGAATCAGCAGGGAAAGGACGGCACCAAGGCACTGGGGCTCCTCCCTAGAGATGCTGCTCACGGCAGGGCCTCGACCTCCGCGTGCCCAGGGTGACCTACAGGACGGCCCCTGCCGGCTCTCGTCCTCCCATTAGGCTGAGCCCCACTGGGACTGTGGCAGTGACTCTCCAACCTGAATGACGACCGCGCTCCTGAGAGGGGGAGGCCCACGAGCCAGGAGAACAGAACAAACACCCGTGACCCGCGGTCAGCAGGCCCCTTTCTAAGAGTTTAGAATTTCTGTCTGCAGGTAACTTAACAGAAAACCTGTGAGCAGGGGCACCTGGTGAGCGGGAGGGGGGGCGGTCAGTCGGTTGAGCATCAGACCCTAGATTTCAGCTCAGGTCGTGATCTCTCAGTTCGTGAGCTCGAGCCCCACGTCGGGCCCTGTGCTGACAGCTCAGGGCCCACTTGGAATTCTCTCTCCCGCTCTCTCTGCCCCTCACTCTCTCTCCCTCTCCCGCTCTCTCTGCTCCTCCCCCGCTTGCTCTCTCTCGTCTCAAAATAAATAAACATTATTTAAAACATCTGTGAACGGAGCCAGAGAAACAGGACTCGCTTTCTGACAAACACCGCGTGTAATTTCCACGGCGCTCTCTCTCTGAGACCACACTGACGCCTCAGCATTCCAAATGGCTGTGTCCCAAGAGACTTCAGAACACAGCTATTGGCAAAACAGCAACTTTGCCCGGTTGACCGGTGAGCGCGTCTCCAGGAGCATCGGGCACCGTCTAAACTCTCCCACAGGAAGGCCAAGGCTGGGCGCCTGGGTGGCTCAGTCAGTTAAGGAAGGCCAAGGCCCCCGTCTTGGCCCGCTCCCTTCCGGCTCCTGGCATCTAGCCGTCACACCGCCAGCGCTCAGCACAGGCAGCACCAGGCTGGCCTGTCCCCCGCCCACCTCCCCCAGACTCACCCCGGGCAC